ACAGGATCAGAGTGGATTTAGAACAAGACACTTCACACACATGTTTGAGGAGCTCTGAGACTTATTTACACTGGTTGAAAAGGTGGGAATATGTGACCTTTAATAAACGCCTACATTAGTATAAATCTCTGTGGAAGGAATTAATTTAATATTGTATCACAAATCTTAACGTTGTTCAGGTGGAGGGATTTACCTTCATGGGTTCTCTTTATACAGCTGGGGTTCCTGGTGCTCCGTACCAGTCAAATGTAGACCAGTCCAAGAGGAGCTCTGTGAGGCGAATTATAAAATTATTTTATAAATGATAATGAAAGAAAAATTAAAATATTTTGAGGCCTCAAGTGAATAACATACATCTGTATTACAGCCTCCGACCAAGAGTTGAGGAATCTCAGGACCAATATGCTTCATGATGTCATCGATATTTTCTGAGAATTCTTCTTAGTGCAGCTACAAGGCCTCCATTCATGGACCGACAGTGACTCTACAGTGCAAAAACAAACCTGATTATGAGGACACAGGATGAGAGGCGATAAAATAAATGGTAGGCAAGCAAATGCAGAATAGTTTTTGGTCTGAGGTCTAACTAACTAATAAGATATTTGTTTCTGGAATGGATTCAGTAGTTTGCTTCAGCCAGCATCAGTGAAACAGGCTGTAATGACTGCAACATCATCCATCAAAGAAAACGTGATTGGTAAAATGAGATTGACTAAAAGTTTTTGTATTTGCAGATCAACTAATCTTGGCCGACTTTCCATCCCCTGCTCTAATTTGTGCCTTCGCCGTTTTAGCCCCCACTCTTTGGAATCCACTCCACCACACCTTCAAATCAGGAGAATCTTTTAATCTGAATCTGAAAAACTCACTGGATTGTTATACAAAGGTCGATCGGTATTAACAGGTTTAGAAGGCTGTTTTTTCAATGAAAACAGTTGAAATTGATGGAATTGATGCACATTTTTTCTGAGAACGTACCACTTATTGTGTGGGTCTTGGTAGGTCTACTTGTAACAACCGTTCTGTTGTTATAAGTAGAGGGGACTCCAAGGAAAAAAGGTCTGGAAACACTGTCCCTAAATAACACAAAAAACTAACCCATTCATAACAATAATAATAATAAATGTTATTTAAAAGCACCTTTCTGGACACACAAGGACACTGTACAACAATTAACATTTAAAAAACAACGATGGATAAAATCAGCATACAAAAAAGAAATGAAAGGTAGGACAGTGTAATTACAGTTAAAATGTTAGAGTGAGATCTTGAAAAGATTTTTGAGTCTGGATTTGAAAATGTAGAGAGAGTCAATGTTGCGTATGTCAGTGGCAGAGAGTTCCAGAGCTGAGGAGCAGGGCAGCTGAAAGTTCTGCACCCCATGGTGCTGAGGCAACATAGGAGCAGAAAATCCTTAGCTTACCCTCTCTGTCAATGGTGGGTCTGAAGAAAGCCTGCATTGGCTATTAAAGGTAAAAGAAAGTTATCTGACTCATTAACAAAAAGGTCACTTGTGCCAGGCTCAGACTACAGGGGAAAAGGTCTGATTTACTGTATCATCTTCCAACTAAAGGAGAGGAATCTGTGTCGGGCCTGAGGTCAGTCCTGTCATTCAGCAGAAGATTATCTGGTCACGTAAGGAGTCTACAAATCCATTTTTAAACGGCAAAAACTGCTATAACTCATAAGCCATCCCCAAATATCATTCATATTGATCATGAGTTGTAGAATCTGGATGATAAGTCGGTACCTACAACAGCCAATGAGAGACTTCTGACTGCGGCTGCAAACAACAGCAATACATCCTAGCTCTGTGGCTGACTTTAGCTAGCATGCGACTGACGGACAACAGTCAGCACCGTTAGTGCAAGCTTCTTGTAAAATGTATTGAATAAAGCTACTGGTTACTACTTACATGAAAAGTGAAGACTTAGTCAGGCACATTTGTCTCTGAGGATTATGTTAAGCTTTTTCAGTTTGTCTCGTGGCTACAAGACCCAGAAATATATGTCAACAATAAAAAAAATTGACACCAGAGTTACTGCAAAAAAATAAAAAAATTGACCCTGAACAAGGAATCCCCCTGATTACCTCAGCATCAGACCAAGTCCTAGTTTCTGGAACGTAGAGCAGACAACGAATATCGTACTTTATCCAGCCTGGAGGACAACTTAAGAGGACAGACACAGAAGAGAGGTTCAATCACATAAATAACATGCGTAAGTGCGTTATTTTTCATGCGTTTGCAAGGAAACATTTTTCCCAAAAAAAATCAAATTGACTATATGGAAGAAACACCAACCATGATAACCGTGACTTTCTGGATCTGTTTAAACTGGACAATTGAAAGTTTATCTGTCAGTTTTTTCATCCATATGTTTTTTTTGTCATTTGTTATTTAATTCACTTTGAAAACAAAAATTATTATAAATCATCAAACCCATGTGGATGCTAATTTTATTTGGATGGATCAGTAACACTCGTAGGCAGCTCTTTATCCAATGGGCACGGCTAAGCTAGCTCTCATTTTGCTTTGCTTACAGTCTACCGTCCTCAAAGATGAACATATGGCGATTTATATGTTTTCCATTCTCTGGTGTTACTCTAAAGATGTGATTATAGTGGAGAACGAAACTGTAGCTTATTTGCTTATAGCTTATAAACTTCATGCCACGCCTGCATAAGTCAGTGCCCAAGTTGGGCCCCCTCCAGTCAAAAGTCAAAGCCAGTGCAGAACATAAGTGTCCAAAAGCAAGCCACTCTTACATAAAGGTTCTTGTATGGATTAAAACAAACAAGACATACAATTTGAGCATATGAGGTGCCTGGGAGCAGATCTTGGATAGTGCCAAGCTAGCTTTGTAAGCTAACAGGCTACGGGCTGTACTTCATTTATTGTTGCAACATAAAGTAAAATGAAAAATAAGAAACAGCAGTTTAGTAAATTATATCCACCACAACCAATATTTACTTACTGAAGGCTTGGGTGAGAACCATCATGGCACAGAACACCAGAGAAGCAGTCAGCAGGTTCATGGTGAAGATGTCCCGGGTGTAAAGATAATAATGGTAACCTTTGATAAACAGAGACGAAAATGTCACTAAATCTTTAGCAGCAGGAAGACAACCTATCTGTAAGAGAGAGAGGATGATAATAAAGCTGAAATCAAACCTGCAGCAGAATGATCTCCTCTGCCCTTCTGTGTGGAGCTGCTGAACCAAACACAGACCAGCCCTTAAACATTCCAGTAACCAAACATGACGAGGCCACGTACACCAACAACACACCTAGGGCAAATACCAATTTCATTCTAAGTTCCAGGGAAGCCTGAGGTCAATTTCAAGATAAGACATGTTATGGTTTGATCTTTTTCTAATTTGGTTTTTCAGTGTTTAGTGTTTCTTCTTGTTGTAATGTGTTTTGTTCTTGAGTTCTGTGGGTTTTTAGTGTTTCATGATTTAGTTTGTAGTTGTCCTCTGTGTTTCTTGTATTCCTGTCTGTGTGTGCTTCCCAGTGTGATTGCCCTGATTGTCTTCACCTGTGTCTTGTTAGTCTCACCTGTGTTTGATGACCCCGGTTTCTATTTAGTCTCTGTGTTTCTTCCCTCCTGTGTCAGTTCATTGTATGTTGTAGGTGTATGTGGTATGTCAGTCAGTCGTCAGTTTGTTAGTGTCTCTTGTGCTTCCTCGCAGCTCCTTGTTTTGGCATTTTGATCTTTATTTTAGATAAATACTTTCTTTTGGTTCTGCACTTGGGTCCACCTTCTGTGTTTTACTCACCTAACTGTAACAAGACAAGTGATGTGTTGTATAAATACTTTGAAATAAAAAGTATCAAACATTTTTTTAGCCAAAAGGAGCCTGGGTAGTTATCTTGTGACAGACAATATACACACAGGTGGCTTCAATTTGTCAATCATCAAAAATGTGTTCAGCGTTACGGAGATAAATTCCTGGTTCTCTAGAAATTACACCAGACACCACACCAACTTTGACTTCCCTGAGGGCTGATTAGATAAACAAATGTTGCTTGCTGAGTCAAGTGGGGCATTTTAGTGGCAAAAGGTAGAAAAACAAAAACTCAGTAGAAATTAAAAATCATAAATAGGGGCACTGGTAGCCTAGTGGTTAGTGCACACACCCAATGTATAGAGGCTGATTGATTCCCTTCTTCTCCTTGAAAAGTACCGTCGATAAATGCATGAACTACTCTGAAAAAGGAACTTAGACAGGATTTTGTTTTTTGCAGAAATGGAGCACAGCATGAGTTCAAGAATGATTATATTCTCTCTCACATTCATCCATTATTCTTCACTCAACTTAGCCCCTCCTCTCTACCACTCCCTCCATCTCCCTGCTCTGGTGAACAGCTGATTATGGGCGTTTACTCTTTAAGTAATCAACCAACCAGATTCTGCCACAGCCTCTCTCGACCAATCATCCTGGTGTGGTCAAATTAAAAAATCGGTTCGCTCTTTTCCCCAATCAGTTTGTCACTTCAGTGCGATGGCTGCACCCTGGTAACCTAATCCTGCATTCTTCTATCACCACCACCACCACTACCAGGGTCTAGACTCCATTAGGGGGGTCTCATCCTTTAACTTTATTTTATAGTGCCTGTGGTACTAATGGCTGTGGCTACTGTGCCATATAAATATTGTCTACTAGTACTTTGATGTCTTTTAAATAAAAAACTCCTCCTACAATTCAAAGGGGAAATTATATGAATGGCTAACAGTCAAAGTCATGGAAGAGGTTTTCTTTTTCATTTTAAGGAACATCAGTAAGCTACGTCTCTGACTCATTTATCAGATAAACACATTTTCTGTAGGAAAAGGCCCTTGGTGACAGATTTTTGTCCTATAAATTGTAATACAGATGACAACAAAAAACATGAAAACAAAAAGCTCCAGATCTTTAAAGGATCAGTCAATAAAATGTGTAGTGAGTGAGATGATAAAGTGATCTTACTATATGATCAGACATTAAGGAAACATGCTATGTTGAAGTGCTGGCTTCTCTGACAACAATGCAGCAGTCAGTATGTCCTCCTTCTAACTTTAGATTCTGGTCCTGAATGCTCTGGATTTGTTTGGACCAGAGAAGGTAGGCAGTTTTAAGGTGTCCCTCCACGGCCGTTTTAGGCGCCCCTCGGTTTGCCAGATATGAGAGCAGTTATCAGGTCAACAGGTGTTGCAGCGATGGAAGCGGGCAAGAGAACTGATTCAGATAGAAGTGATTGTACCCGACCTAAAAAGCCTCTGCATGTTTCTAATAAGCTCCACGAGCAGAAACGTGCTCAAACTAGGATCAATATTGGAGATGCTTTTGAAAAATGGAGAGAGGTTAGAACACAGAAAGGTTTACAGACCGATGCAGAGCTGGATAAACACTGAAGCTTCAGTGTCCACCACATGGTGACCTGCGTGAGCATCAACTCTAGAGAGGAGGGGGGCGGGGGGAGACAGCTCTCTACAATGTTTGAATGACATACAATACAATGAAAGCAAACATACAATGACATTGGACTGCAGTATCCATTTTAAACACTTGGTGTGAGAGTTACATATTGCTCCTTTAATACCTCTAAAGGGTCAAAGGTTAAATTTGTTTTAACCCAGATTTAAAATGTTACTGTTTTCGTGTTGCACTTTAGTGTTTAATGTAGTTTAAATTTGCTCTTCCTGCTTTGCACAAATGTTCTTTATGTCTATGAATCATTTCAGTTTTTTTTTCTATTTCTCTTTTTAAAATGATCTTTGACTGTGTATTTATCTATACTTTGATACTTCTTATACTCAATCTTCTATTTGCTATCCGGATGTTTCTTTTATTCCACACATTAATAAAGGGGCCTTGCCTTAAGTTAACAACCAGAATAATGAGTGCAGTTTAATCATTACAGATACCTTGAAAAATAAACATCAGGTCAGAGGTCCCAGCTGGTTGAATGTTTGTTCTCACACTTGTAAACTCATTGGTCGATCTCACGTTCTCTCTGGTTATACTTTAAAGCTAACACTGACTGTTGGTTTTGTGCTGTCCTGCCCTGAGCGATGTGTTGAGCTGAGTCAGGGCGTTGTCGGGCGGATGTTGATCTTTGAAGTTAAAGTGCTGTCACATTGACAAAGCAGAGGCGTGTTCTTATCTATTACTGAGCAAATAAGACAAACACACAGGTTTGCTGACATCATCAGATTCATTTTTTGAGTCACCACTTTTTAATATATTAATGAAAAATGCGCAGCTCGGTCTATTTCTCATATGTAACCTGCAAAAACTCATACAATACGACTTATAATACTCAACATTCACCTGACAAGTCCAGATAAACTTAGATAAAGATTAAAAAAGTTTATTCTTATAAGCAAAACATATTTGATGATGGACGGCCTTGCCCACAACCAAAAAACACATAAGGGAGAACATCTGCAGCCTTGAATCTTTTGTTTTACATAGATTCAAATATGAACATCTGAAACTTTGAACTGCCTGGTAAGTAAACACTGTGATGTAAATCGGTGTTTAAAGCACACTCAGGTGTTTTATGCTGAAGTATTTATTTAAGATTGATCATTAAGAAGAATTCAGACAAACACAATAATCGTATATTATATAACAGCATAGGTTTACGTCCTTATAGTGATGTATGAATTCTATCGAGAAGTAAACTCCCTTTATGGAAGAAATAAATCATTCTGTTCCTTTGTGCTGTTGGTGGGCACAGCCTGAGTGACGGTGCGATCAGAAACTGTATAAAAGAGCTGAACTTTTCTTTTCTCTGCACTTTGATGCTTCACGCTGACACCGAGGAGGAGCCGAAGATCACCATCTTTCTGCAGGTGAGTTAAAGTCTCACATTAGCTCCTGTCTTTGTAACTTAGATTATCTATCACAGCAGGTTTATGACAGAGAGTTTGGAATTAAAAATGGGACGTTACGAAGAATACATTTGTAAAAACAATTTTAAAAATGAATTTGACTGTATTTGTATCTTTTGGGGGTCATTTATTTTTTTAAATGATGTCATTATTTATATTATCATTTCTATCCCTTCTTTTTCCCTTGTTCTTCTGTGTGACTTTGAAGGGTCAGGCTTAAATCAACAAGCTTTTATTGGCTTATTTTATTTTTATTTTTTTACATCTGTATTTTTTTCAGCACTGATGACTCCATATAGGTGCTATTTTTTCTTATAGGCATAGAAAAAAAACTGTGCAAACTGTTTGCCTGATGACGGTCTTGCTATGTTGCCAATAAATGTTTTTTTGTTTGTTTGTTATACATTGTGCAGGTGTTTACCTTTAAGTTTCCTATAGATATATGAAAGTTCATTTGATCATTTTAATTGTATTTTTTTTAAGTTGACGATCTCTGAAATCTGATTCATCTTCACCATGACGCTGTTGGCTGTTTCTGCACTTCTCTGTGCAATGACGATTACGACCCTCGGAGCTGCCTGTGAGTAGATTGTTTGAATATTTTGTGTGGCTTTTCTTTTCCATTTATATATAGACATATTGTTCTTCCCCACCACATACATGGTACTCAAACTTAAAGAAACATTTCACTAATGACCATTTCATAAAAAGAAAGATTCCACTTTGACCTCCTGTAAATGGAACATAAATCCTTCTGAAGAGTTTTGATGATTTCAAAGAAGAGGAGTGTTGAGTAGAGCCAATTCTTTTATTTCTTTGCTCATGGAAAACAAACCTCTTCAATCCTCTTTATTATTTATGAAGACATTTGTCATGCTGTATTTAAACATACACATGCTGTAAATGTTGCCACATGTTACAATGAAAGAGGGAAATGAAAAGGAATCTGAATGTGCTTTGTGCAGCTGTTTTTTATGGCAATGTTTGGTCCCACTTTGAGGGGTTCGATAGTCACTAGTTCAGCACTGTTCCTTTTGATTGAGTCTGAATGATTTAAGAAGAATTAAATGATTAATATAACAACCCTACAGTAATGAGGACATAAAACTAGGATGACCATACTGTATGTCCCAATTTGACCGGGACTGTCCTGTCCCGAGTCCCCACAAATATCTATAAAACACTAATATGTCCTGGTTTTAACCTTTTGAAATACCAAAACAATACACCATTCTTGCACAAATGATCAATCAATCAATGTCGTTGGCAAGGCTGCTGATCATCAACACTGATTTTTTTGGCGCATGTTTCAATCAATCTCGAGGTTGCAGCTGTTGCTTAGTTAGCCTAGCTTATCATGCCTACAGGACCTGCTGCCTAACAACATGTAGGTGAGCTGTCATACTGAACAGGAAGTCGGTGTTTTCTATATACCGCCAGAAGAGTTACAGCTTCATTCATAAAGTGCCAGCCAATAAACATGCTGCTTTTTGCAGACACTGAAGGGGCTGTTTTCAGCCGCCCACAGTGGAGATTCCAACATACAAAGTCATATTAAAAAGAGCAAACACAAACTGTGGATACAGACTGGAAGTAGCACTGTTAAGATTTACTTCAGTGAGGGAAACGACGCTGACAACCAGAGGTGTCAAATGTATTGACATTCATTACTCAGGTAGAAGTATAGATACTAGGGTTTAAAAAGACTTGGCAAAATGGCATGAAGGACAAAAGCTTAGGCTGCGCCACAGCGTGTCGGAATGGTATATGTTTATACTTCTCATCCAACCACAATCAAATTCACTCTATCTGGATGGCGCGATTTATCTGGATAAGTTTTTGTTTTTTTTGTGTTTTTTTGAACGATGACAAGCCGGAATGAAAACAAGCCAAAATGAAAAAGGAGTAACGAGGCTATTTTTAAAATTTAAGGAGTAGAAAGTAAAGATAATTACGTAAAAATGTAAGAAGTAGAAGTAAAAAGTCGGCTGAAAAATAATTACTCCAGTAAAGTATAAATACCCAAAATTTCTACTTAAGTAAGGTAATGAAGTATTTGCACTTTGTTACTTGACACCTCTGCTGACAACCAAACATAATGCTCAGGAGGAAACCTTCACCTACCACCTTGAGTGACCAGTGCATGTCATTGATCTGTGGATCGATGCATGTGAGTTTGCGGTAAAATTAAAGTGTCCTTATTTGGAGGTTTGAAAATATGGTCACCCTAACTCTGCCAAGAAATACAACATACTGTCATTATTAGTGGAGGATGTGTAAAACTTTACTGGAGACTCAACACAATGCTCTTCTCTGTCTTCAGTGGAACCTCACGTGTTTAGTAAGTTCTCATCCTGTCCCTGTGCATGGACACAGTTCCAGGACCGATGTTTCATCTATGTCCCGAAGGCCATGACGTGGGCCGAGGCTCAGGTAATGATTCGGTGCAGAAAGCTTCCTCTGCACACAACCACCTGGATAATAAGCATCTCTTTTATTCCCTTTTCTTTTTAATGTTTGTTCATCTCCTCTGCAGCAAACTGTCAGTCCATGAGGGCCAACCTCGCTTCTGTGCGCAGCTTTGCAGAATACACGGCCATTCAGAGCTTAACTGCAATTGATCGATACAGGAACACGTGGATTGGAGCATCTGATGCTCAACAGGTAGATTTTTTACATGTAAACTTGTTAAGTTGTAAGCAAGTTCAACTGGAAGAAGGTCCAATAGTAACGAGCTGAAAGGGAGCATATCCTTATCACCACCTACTGTAGCTGAGTCAGACATTTTTTGGTCAGTAAATAACTGAAGAGCACAGAGATGAGGGCACCGTGCTGGCCTGGATCACTTGCAATCACCTGACCTGATATTCTTATTGAACCAAATATATATATGTTCATTGGGTCTGTGCACTAACAAGAAATGACTTACTAAATAAAAGGGCACTAATAGGGCAGGTGCTCAAGTCACTTGTTATCTTTTGTGCATGTGACTTAATAGAGGTGTGATAAGTCAAGTAACAAATTAAGATAAGCAGAACATTAATGGGATTACTGAATGTTCAGACACAGACCCAGCCTCAGTTCATATAACTCCACATAAAAAGCCCAATATGCAGTATGTAGTACTTACGACGGTCTGATTTGACGCGCAAGTATAAACAAGGCTTAACTCTGAGGGGTTAGGATGGCAAAGTTTCCCTTTAATTAAAGGTTCTTCTTCAAATACTTTTTGATATTCTTGTCTCTTCTCGTTTTTTCAAGGATCGTTTTTGGTTCTGGAGCGACGGAACACCTTTCACCTACACAAACTGGTGTCCTTATCAGCCTGATCACAGACACACTGGAACGTATGGACCAAATGGACCGTATTGTATACAAATGAATTTTGGAGGTAATTCTCCTACAAAGCATCATGTTAATTAAAGGGGCGCTGTGGGTCAATGGTTGAGTCGATCATGTCTCACCTGGAAGGTCAGGGGTTCAATCCCCAGCAACTGCAGCCACATATCTAATGTGTCCTTGGGCAAGACACTTACCTCTATGTTGCTGCTTCGTTGGCGGCTTATGAATGTGTTTGAATAGATGAGTTCATACTGATGGACTCTTTACATCAGCCTCATCAGCAGCCTGTACCATCAGTGTGTGAATGTGCAGTTGTGACCTGGGTGAAAAAGTCGATTTACCATTTACCATTTAATATGGGAAAGATGTGTGGAATTTACTTTATATCCATCACTTTGGAAAAATCATAAATATTTAGTTTTGGAGGTAAAAACTAAATAATGAATGACAGTAAATGCAAATCATTTCTTTGGTTGTTAAAAGAAATTAGACATTTCATTGAATTCCTTTCTATATTTTTGGAACATATAGTAGCTGGGATTATACACAGTAGATATCAAAGATACCATAGTTTTGCTTTAAAGTTCAGTAACTTCTCCCTGCAGCTGTGTGGTGATGTTGGTATGAAGACGAAAATACAGTGTACAACTTCTATCTCTACAGACAGACTGATTCTTGTGTTTTCTGCTCTTACAGTCGGAAAGTGCTGGGATGATGGCGAATGTAAGGCTGTGTTTCCATCCATCTGTGCCAAGAAAGTCCTGGGTTAACACCGAGCCAGGACGTACCTGCCGAAAGCACTATTAAGCCACTTTTTGCATAGTCTGACTTTTTGTGTTATCAGTTTCATAATAACCAGAAATATTTGTCACGCAATTCAAATTATGTCTCTTCTAACGCTGTAACGCCTTTAAAGGAATAAAGGGACAAGTAACTTCTACAGCAGCAGGTTGTTTTTGAGGCTTTAATGAAAGCAGAATGAATGTGTTGAATGCTTGAAGCAAAACTTTATTTATAATTGTCTTTCTCTTCTTGTGCAAACATTAAAGTGTCAAGCCATTTCTCAAAACAAGAAGATCTGTTGGTCATATTTTCTTGGACTAGGTCTTTTTCTCCCTGTACATTGTAAATCTTACAATTTACTGGATTACTGTGCATAAACAATGCAATAAATCTAGTTTATTAAGAGCCTCACGCGGGGCACCATTTATGTTGGGGATTTTAAGAGCTCACAGGTGGGCAACAATTATGTTGTGGTTTTATTTAGTCAATTTGTTTATTAGATTAAAATTAATATGAAATATGAATATTAATTGACACAATTATTAATCAGAATTAATAACAACGGGGCACCATCCTGAAATCTGGGAACAATAACCAAATTACACAAGGCATGAATATGTACACTAGCCCTCGCACCCAGCTGCTATCAAAATGAAGAAATGTTCTGCAAACACTACATTAAGAGAATTCTTTAATAATTTTTATGCCGAACAGACAAAAATGATTTGTGCAGACATTTCAAGCCAACAATGACTTTTTCCCTGCAAAGTGAGACATGCATGTTGATTTTCTATACCTCCACACGTGCATCCAATCACTAATTAAGGCCCTTCACATGATGATGTAATGATCAGCATGTGAAGAAGCTGCTACACAAGTGGGCATGTGATTTCAAACATTTTGTAGGCTATATACTTAATATAATATACGACTTACAAATTATCACACAGATGCCAATTTCATAGTATTCATAATTACACGATGTCTGACCAGATTCTATGATTAAATTTTTTTCTCCATTTTTGTTTGTTCAACCAATCACAGCTTCTGAAAGAAATTGTCATACCTAGCAACGGGGTCAACCACTCTCAATAAGATAAAAGTTTCAACAGAGTAAGCAGTTTCAACAGAGTAAGCAGTAACAAAAAATACAAATGTAGAAAAATATGTACATAAGAAAACATGAAATATACAGAGGCAAGTATTGCATATTGTGGGTTGTATCACATCACAGATTTTCATTAGTAAATGTTGATTGAAAATACATCTGGAGTCCCAAAGACTCAGAATTCTGACAACCCAAACAAGTCAACCCTTCAAAATCATGTTTATAAGCTAAAGCTAAAGCTTCTAAAAAATAAAATAACTTGAGGGCTATGAGGTCACCATGAACCCATACCCCATATTGATGTTCATTTATTTACCTACAGTTTGATTAACTGTGGTTAACTGTGGCCTGCAAGTGGCTTTTTAATTGCTCCTCAGTAATCTTTTTTAATCTTTTATCATGCTTTATTTTACTTTTCAGAACTCAAGGATGCTTCACATGACCAACAGAAGGTCCCTTCACTATCATTATGGTGCCTTCAATTCAATTCAATTCAATTCAATTTATTTTGTATAGCCTCAACTCAAGTGTTATCTAAAGACACTTACACTACAAAAAGCAGGTAAAATACCTTACTCTACTGTTCCGGCAGGCCGTCAACCAACGATCTTGAGGAGCCTAAGAGAGCTCAAGAGCTCTCAGGAAAGTAGAGAGAGAGAGAGAGAGGAGCTCAAGGTGCCAGTTTCCCCGGTAGTCTAAGCCTATAGCAGCATAACTAAGAGCTGGTCTACACCAGCACTAACTATAAGATTTATCAAAAAGGAAAGTTTTAAGTCTATTCTTAAAAATACAGACTGTGTCTGCCTCCCGGACCCCGGCTGGAAGGCGGTTCCAGAGGAGAGGAGCCCGATAACTGAAGGCTTTACCCCCCATAGTACACTTGGAGATTGTAGGTACCACCAGCAGGCCTGCACTCTGGGACCGCAATGCTCTCGAGGGACAGTATGGCACTAGTAGCTCCTTCAGGTAAGATGGTGCCTGGCCATTTAGCGCTTTGTAGGTGAGAAAAGGATCTTGAATTCTATTCTAGATTGTATAGGGAGCCAGTGCAGAGAAGCCAGGACAGGAGTGATGTGGTCCCATTTCCTGGTTCTGGACCAGTTGAAGAGTCTTTAAAGATTTGCCAGAGCACCCTGACAAAAGAGAGTTACAGTAATCCAGTCTGGAGGTAACAAATACATGAACTAGTTTTTCTGCATCATTTTGCGACAGGATATTCCTAATCTTGGATATATTACTTAAGTGAAAATAGGCTGTTCTTGAAACTTGACTGATGTGAGAGCTAAAAGACATATCTTGATCAAAAAGAACTCCTAGATTCCTAACAGTGGTGCTAGATGCCAGGCTGATGTCACTAAGGACAGTCAAATCACTAGAAAAAGTCTCTCTGAGGTTCTTAGGGCCTATCACAATAACTTCAGTTTTGTCAGAGTTAAGTAGCAAAACATTTCTGGTCATCCAGGTCCTAATGTCCTTAAGGCACATTTCTAGCTGACATAACTGACTGGTGCCATCGGGCTTCACTGATACATAAAGCTGAGTATCATCTGCATAACAATGAAACTGTATGGAGTGTTTCCTCATAATATTTCCCAGAGGAAGCATATATAATGTAAAGAGAATTGGTCCAAGCACTGAACCTTGTGGGACTCCATGGCAAACTTTAGTGTGCATAGAGGACTCATCATTAACATGTACAAACTGAGATCGGTCTGATAAGTAGGATTCAAACCAACTTAAAGCAGTCCCTGTAATTCCAAGCAAATGCTCCAGTCTGTACAACAGGATCCGATGGTCAATGGTGTCAAAAATAGCACTAAGCTCTAACAAGACGAGCACAGACAGAAGTCCCCTGTCTGAGGCTAGAAGTAGATTATTTGTAACTCTAACTAGTGCAGTCTCAGTGCTATGGTGGACTCTAAATCCTGACTGAAACTCCTCAAATAAAGTGTTGTCATGGAGAAAGTCACACAGCTGTTTAGCTACCACCTTCTCCAGGATCTTCGAGAAAAAAGGAAGGTTGGATATGTCCTGTAGTTAGCCAGAGTTCCTGAGTCCAGAGTAGGCTTTTTAAGTAGAGGTTTGATTACCGCTACTTTAAATGCCTGGGGTACATAGCCTGCCAGTAAAGACGAATTGATCATATCTAATATAGAGTTGCTAACTAAGGGAAAGACTTCCTTAAACAGCTTGGTTGGGATTGGGTCCAAAATACAGGTTGATGGTTTTGACGTAGAAAAAATGGAATATAGCTCTGAAAGGTTGATTGGAGAAAAACAGTCGAAACTAATATCTGGTCCTGGAACTGTCTCTGCCGTATCAGACGTATCCGCACCAGGTAAGGGCAGGAGGTTACCAATTTTGTCTCTGATGTCTAGAACTTTGTTGTTAAAAAAACTCAGGAAGTCATTATTGCTGAGGGCTAGAGGAATACAAGGCTCAATGGAGCCATGACTCTCTGTCAGCCTGGCTACAGTGCTGAAAAGGTATCTAGGATTGCCTTTGTTTTCCTCAATTAGAGAGGAGTAGTAGGCAGCTCGGGCGTGACGTAGAGCCTTCATATATTTCACTGACCTGGTGTTCTACACTGTTGTCTTCCTCGCCCTGATGAACTCATGTAGGGGTAAGTTGCAAACATTACAAACAGTCTGGTTCATGTTGACATGAAGAGTTATTTAAATTACTGAAGTTTAAGTTTGTGCTTCTAATGACACCATATGGCTCACATTTGCTGAGCTGTAGGAATAAAAAATGAATCCCTGTTTGTTTTCAGCTCAGTCTGAGGTGATCGTTCCATCTCAGCCAGTAGTTTCATTGGTGGGTAAAGACGTTATTCTGCCATGTCACCTGGACCCCGTCATGAACGCTTTTGACATGTTTCTGGAGTGGTCAAGACCTGACCTGAACTCGAGAGCTGTCCTGGTGTGGCGTCAAGGTGAAGGGTGATTGAAGATGTCTGCCCTGAGCAGCAACAAGATCTATCCCCCCCTAGAGTCCAGACACTGGTGGAGGAGGTGTTAGTGGATGATGTCGTCTGGGTTGATGCGATGAAGAAGTTGATTGAACTGTGAAGACTAGAGTTGATGAGGAGATGGTTAATGATTTCATCTGAGCCAAACTGCAAAGGCTGGGGTTGACCGGACGATGGCTGATGCTGTGATCCGAGGCTGATGGGATGAAGGAGGTGATGAACTTGCGAAGGCCTGGTGGTAATGGGGAGGTGGAGGGTCGCTCGTAACGATGGCATGAATGAACTAGTGGAAGATAAAGCCATTTTTAGGAGGAGGAATGTTTTTTTGCAACTAATTTGTTTTTATATATTTTTTGAAAGGATATGATTTATTCATAATAATGCGACCATAATCTATAGCTGTTAGGCCATTAACTAAGAGTTTGCCCTTCTAATTACTGCTTATTGATAGCAAGGATGTTGTTGAACATGAATTATGATCTTAATATGCTTTGCTTATTCTAATTATTATTATTTATGATCAGCCATACAAAGAAGATTTTCAAGCAACCATTAACATATTCTTAATGTATCCAGCTAGTGTTGTAGTACTCGAAATATGTCACTTTTTGAAAGTCTTGGTCTTGTCTCGGTATCAAAAGCATTTTTCACTTGATCTTGTCTTTGTCTCAGACTGGGCGGAATCTGGATTTTAAGTCAAAACCGATTAAGACCACGACTGCTATTTGTCCACGTCATTACTGAGATTAGAAGGAAAACAGCTCTTTCTAAAATAACGAATAACTTCAATTTATTTGTTATTTGTGAGTGAGTGACATGCCCGCTGCACACAAGATTATAATTTTTCGGTGGTTCTTGGTCTTGACTCAGTCTCGATCCCTAAATGTCTTGGTCTTGGTCTTGTCTCGGTTTCGATCCCTAAATGTCTTGGTCTTGTCTAGGTCTTGGAGCACTCCTGTCTCGCGTATGTCTTGGTCTAGATAAGAGTGGTCTTGACTACAACACTACCTCCAGCACACCATTTCCCCTCCATTTTACATGCACTTCCATGTATTTTGTTTATTTGTCATTTATTGTATGTAATATCTGTTTTATTATGAGAATGAAGAAACACACTTCTGAAACTTCTCTCCTCTACAGGTTCTGTCTCCTCACCTGTTGTTCAGATGACCAAAAACAACAGTGGAGTGTTGTTAGAGTGTGAGTCTGCAGACTGGTATCCAGAGCCAGAGATGTTTTGGCTGGACGGCGAGGGAAACCTCCTCTCTGCTGAACCCACTGAGACAGTCAGAGGTCCTGATGGTCTCTACACTGTCAGCAGCAGAGTGACTGTGGAGAAGAGACATGGGAGGAAGTTCACCTGTAGAGTCACACAGAGGAAGATCAACCAGACCAGAGAGAAGCACCTCACTATTCCAGGTAAATATAAGGCATTCATTATTTATGTGATCAATGAGCTGAACAGTAAATATGAAAATAATTCTGTTTTGCAATTTCAGATCAACTCTTCATGTTCCCCAGCACTGTTGTTATCTGTGCTGCTTTGCTGTTCATTCCTGTGATCATCTTTGTTGTGTGGAGACGGAGACTAAAGAAATTCAGTAAGTGACAAACTGTCAGTCTTCTGATTGTAAGACTCCAGGTTGTGGATGTTTGATGATGTATTGATGAGGTTATTTTTTAGGACTGAGTAGTTGTTCAGTTTTGACTTACTTTGCATTCTTTTACATTCAAGTATTTGTAGATTCAAAAACAGTTTTTGTGTTCGTATGTCTCTGTGGTGGAGTGTTGTGGCTGGAGCTTTTATATTATCAGGTTGTCTTTTCGTCTATGCATGAGGTACACAGCCAAGAGAATGACCACCACCTTTGTCAATAAGTATATTATCTCCCCTTAATTGGTGTACACTTTACGATTTCAGGTCCAATTTAGACCAACATTTTGTAGTCGTACGACTGATTTTGATTTCTGGCTTTTCAGCCGAATGTGCGTCTTACGTACACTGAAGCACGACGTCCAAACTCTGTCCAAACAGCTGCTCCCGACTGGTCTGATGATTTTCTGGCATGTTTGATATTTTGGACGTTCAACTGCACACACTCGCAGAGCAGGGGCGTGTCCAGACTTTTTTGACTGGGGTGGCCCACCTGGGGCACTAACCTATGCAGGGGTGGCATAAAGAGTGATATGCAGACAAGCACACACAAATATAAATTTGTATCTTCTCAAACCTCACCAAAAATATAGACGTTATAACATTATTGACAAAAAAATAAGATTTATGTTCAAAACCACAATTTAA